TAATAGTATTAAGCATAAAAAATTTCCTTGATCGAAAATAGCGTTTTACATTTACGTGTGAAAAAAGAAAATTTATAATATACGAAATAATATTTTTCAAAATGATATATTAAATAAACTTGAAGGATTGATATGTGAAATATATATAATATATAAAAAGAAATGTACTTTATTTTAATAATCTTAATCATATATATATCATATAATAATATATTTTATACGGAAAAAATAAGCTGTTCAAAATAATTGATAAAAATGATATCAAACATCTTATCATTCTAATTTTCTAAAATATTACATTCATATTTATAACAACGTATCGTTTAATTATAAATAAAAATTACGCAATGAGCATAAAAATAAAGACTCAATGCCCTAAAAAGAGCATTTAATTTTAACTTATTTTAACTTATTTTAACTTATTTATGTATTATGTTATTGTTATTTATATACTCTAGTTAGAATTTAAAAGTATTCTATTGGGATGACACTATTTATTTTGCGGGAGCGAATCCTATGCGATCGTTCCCCATGTCGAACTCAGTATAATACCGACCAAGAAATGAATCACCTAAAAACCCACATCATACCAAACTCACTCTGAGCCGCAATTTCGAAGGCGCTATAACATACCGGTGTATCCTCATCATCGATCTATAATAAATTGTATGTCATATAATGTTTCTATTATAAAACAATTAGCACTAGCTATTCACAATAATCAGTGGATTATTAGTCCAGTAACATCAAAAACGAGAAAAAAACACAAAGAATTCTCAAAAATTATAATATGTGAGTATTTTAATGAAACATTTATAATCGATAGAAAATAAATTTGTAAAATATATAAAATATTTGCCTTGTATTCTGATAATCAATAAATAATCATATATTTGAAATTAAACTATGCTTATCAAAAATCGAAACGAATGACAGCTGTCGAATTGAGATAAATATGATTTTATCCTATTTCGAAATAAGAGGAGAATTATTGATATATTTTACAAATATATTTTATCAAATATTGTATTCTAAAAAATATTGCTTTTTTGATAAATATTTTTATTTTAATATATCTTAGAATTTTTATAATATAAGTTTTCTCGCTTCTGACGCTTCATTAATTTAAAGATCCATAGTAAGTAATCAGAAGCCTTAAACGTTTATTTGACGATATTTACCTTTCTCACAATGATGTAATCTTCTACAGTGAGTACGAATGGTTTACCACTTAGGAAAAAAGTAACATTGGGTAAATTAGTACACTACCGGCCGAAGAATCCAATAGATTTCTGTACAGATTATATATATTTTTTAATGAAAAAACATAGTACTATTAATACGAAAAGATAAATTATATAGAATGTATTGGAAAACAAGCCATTTAACTAAAAAAGTATTTTCAAACATGCTAGCATGTTTGAATGAGTATTAACATACTCGCTGTCGTAATGAGTGGAGTTATCCAATGTCAGATTATTATCCATCCATAAACGAGGTTCTGCACATATTATATGTCTTTTAATATGAAAAAACAGTACTTTTAACGTAGAAAGACAAATTTTGTCATATGAAACAACAATTTATTTAAATTAAAAAATACAAATTTATAGACGCGTTTTTATACTTTTAGACGCGTGACACATGAAGAAATACATACCGATTTAAATAAAAACTAAAAATTGGTAGCGACATCTTGCTGAATCATATTGGTAAAAACAGGAGTTACTCCTAAAATAGATATATTAGGGTAACCCATTCCCAAGATACCATCGAATTTTGCATAGAGAAAAATCTATTCCTGTTCAATTATCGCTTCCCTAAATGTTTGATTTATAATATTAAGACCAGCAACCTACAAAAAATTTGTCTTTAAAGAAATTTTTATAGATTAAAATTAAATTGTACTGTTTATTGATGATGATTTACATTTACTACATCAGTAGATAAGTATCCGGACAGTCTACCATATTCATATTGTATATCGAATAAAGTACCATTTCGTATGTACGTGCGAGAAGTTCGATTATTATATTTTTTATGTGTCACTGTAAAAGATAGTACATAAATATAAATAAGTTATTGTTAAAGTGCTAAAAATAAATTTCACTTTGTTAATTTATATGTATAAGTGAAATACAAAGTGTCATATTATTTAATTTTCTCATTAAAATTATATTCATAGAATATCAATTTTTTTTTAAACACTGGGTAAACAAATATTGTACTTTATGGAAATTCTGTTAGATATGGCATCACGAATAAATAATACTTAATATTAACATTATTGTAAAAAATGTTTTTAATAGTTTAAAAAAATTAAATATTATTTATTAAAATATTAGCGCACGGTTTGCAATGTCAATTCCAATTAGTACAAACTTTTCCTCTTTTATTGTATACGAACATAAACATAAATATAAATATAAACACAATATTGAAAAAATAATGTTATAATACTTACAGCAAGTTAAGTCATCAATGTCACAGTGTACGGATAGTATCCAGAGATTAGCGGAACCAGTATCGAAACGTACTTTAAATTTTTGCGGTGGAGTTCCAATTGAAATAACGCCATAATATTGAGTATTCCGAAAATTAAATAGTGGTTCCCTTACAATGCTAGCAAACGTAGTCAAATTGCCTTGTCGATAATAAATGCCAATCGATTTTCGAACAAAGGATGTCTTGTGTAACGAAATTCTTAAAATAACATTTAAAATTTTAATTAATTTCTGTTATATTGTATGCATATATGTTTCATAAAAACACAAATATATGAACAGATATATATGAATACACAACATATGTATAATATATACGAATTTTAAATAAATTGATAAGTCATCTTCAAACTTAATTTAATTATTTCTTATTTCTAAATTTCTATTACATAAGTCTCAACTAAAGGCAATCTGCATTAATCTATTTACGCAAATAGGGAAGATCTCGTTGCCTACAAAATGATTACCTACAGCTTCGTTTGCACACGGCAATATTGCACATACGATAGAATTGCACATACGACGCTATTGGCCTAATTTACATCATGCTCTTAATACAAGCACTAACTAGTAATTTTTTAATAAATTATCTTAATTTCGGCGAAACGTATAAACATATACATGATATGTATATTTAAGTAATCATTTGCATTGCATATTGTACCAATTTATATCAAAATACATTATTCTTTAAATACATAGCTATGAAAATAGAATAATTTAATAGAAAGTTACCAGCTAGTGCGCATATCAAGCATGCACTAAACCAATAACATCGTGTGTCCAATACTGTCGTGTATGCAATATTGTCATATGTGCAACATGCTCTGTTCAAATGAAGCTAGGCAATCGTTTTGTAAACAAACAAAGTCCCCATCAAATAACGTTATATATTTTAGATTCGAACTTCTCCGTTCACACATTTCACTTAAGATGTAAAGAAAAATAAATTGTAAGCTTCAAAGGAATTTGAAGCATTCTTTTATCTGTCCACATTATTCTAACACACAAAGTACAATTTTGTTTTAGTTATGGTTGAATGTATTTATTGTGAATCAATGTTTACACATGCTCACCTATGTAATTCCGATCAGCACGATGAGTGCGGCAACTGCAAAGAACATTCGAAACATGTTTTCCGAATTATCTGGCGATTAAATCTAAGAAAATTGCAGGGATGTTCGAACTCTTTTTCATTCAGGACGCATAATAAACGAAAATGAAGTCAATCATGAGCATTTCCAGTACCATTTATATATGAGATTATTTGTTTGTGTTGAAAAGGATAAAAGAAAAGATGAAGCGAGCGAAACATTCTAAAAGTAACCTTAGTGCTTTTCGTTAATCGAATAATAAATTTTAAAAAAAAATACGGTTCGCATTTGTCCGCACTCATATTTAGCATATACGCATGCCTCAATGTATTTAAATAAATTTGATTAGTAAAAAAGATACGAGAGTGGATTAAATATAAATGAAAACTTTTTTTTATTATTTATTGGTCAAGAATAATAATATAAAGAAAACAAATTATTTTTCTACATAATTTCCTGCTACATTGAAATATTTTTTCCAGCAGATAATAATATATAATCTCATGCCGCTTATTACTCGTATAATACACAATTCTCTTAAAAAATGTCCAGTAATTCCTCAAATCTGTACATCGCAATGCTTGCAGAGGTTTATTCCATGGTATAAACTAAAGAATATAAACTCAATTCTTTAGTTTGCTGGAAAAAATATTTCAATGTAGCAGGAAACTATGTAGAAAAATAATTTGTTTTCTTTATATTTTTATTCTTGACCAATAAATAATAAAAAAAAGTTTTCATTTATATTTAATCCATTCTCGTATTTTTTTTACTAATCAAATTTATTTAAATACATTGAGGCATGCGTATATGCTAAATATGAGTGCGGACAAATGCGAACCGTATTTTTTTAAAAATTTATTATTCGATTAACGAAAAGCACTAAGGTCACAATTCAAATTCACTCAACAGTCAATCAACATATCATATTAAAATATGTAACTTAAAATTTAAATTATGTAGTAAAATAGATGGTACAGTCCAAAAATAAAAGTAGATGGTACACTCCAAATATAAAAGATGTAAATATGAAAAAAATGAATTACCTGATAACAGTGAAATATCGAATATAAGTAGTAAAAAAAGTATCGAGTATAAGTAGTAAAAAAAAGAAACAACCGGGAAACAATTATGATCTGTGCACTTTGAAATTTACGCATAAAAATAAAAATAAACAAAAAAAAATCAAATTAATATGAAAGTGACGCAGATAAAAAATAAATTCCATAATACTTCCTGATTGTATTTGAACGATGGTATATATTGTAAATATGGTTGATTGAAGAAAAGTATCGTGATCAGAAAAGTACCGATGTAAGTATATATTTTATGTACTTACAAAAAAGTGGGATAATGAAGAGATGAATGAGGTTGCCTGCAGAAATAGCAACATTATCCTTATATAGTTATTATTTTCTATTCATTCCTTAAGTTTAAACAAATTATTTAATTATAATATATAATTTTAATCACGCAATATTATTTTAAAAAATATATATTATTATCATTTCTTAGAAACGAGAAAGAAGATCGATAACATTAACTGTGGTCGAAGATAATTTATTGCTTTAGTTTTTAGATAAGTTTACAAATGCAGAATCAGCATTGAAAAACACATACAATTTTATATTTTATTAAACAAAAGAGAGAAATTGAGATTAAGAATTATATTTATAATATCGTGTAACAACACGATATTATGCTGGAATAATTGACCGCATCAAAAGTTGATAGCAATAATAACGCACAACATCGTTATACTTTTTTAAATTAAATCACATATCACAATCGCATTTATCCAAGAATGCAGTTAACGCTTAAATAACCCCAAATAAAAATTTGAACGCAATAAGAATTAAGAAACAAAAAATCTAAAAAAAAAGATTCTAAAAATATTGCAAGACAAAATAATTTGTTCATTATTTCCTATAATATTCTAACATTTACAGTACTCTCTTGAGAAAATAATACTTATTTTGCATGCGCAAATCCCACTCGGTTGTTCCTCATGTCAAACTCAGTATAAAACTGATTAAGAAATGGAGTTCCCAAAATCCAAATATCCCCACTGGAATTTACGAAAGTGCTTGTACATACCATTGTAGTATTTCTCGAATCGATCTACAACAAGTTAAACATGATGTTTTATTTTAAAACAATTTACAGCTCTTGTCTATTCATTATCATCTTACATTGCGATATCGAAAAAAATATATAAAAAAAGCATTGCAAATTACAATAAAATGTATTTTTTAATAAAACATCATTGCGGTCGACATATTTGCAAAATATATCCAAACCTCTCTATGTGTTACAATAAAATCAATATATAATCTTATAATTGAAATTGAATTATAACCAGAAAACGAAATTAACTATATAATATGCGAGAGAATCAATATATTTCTTTTTACAAGTGTATTGTATTAAATGCAAAAATTATCTTGAAGAATGCATCCAATTTAATACATTTTGCAAGAGTTTATATATTTTATCGCTTTTGATATCAATTTGAAGATTCATGATGAGTGATCAGGAATTTTAAACCTTAATTTAATGATATTTACCATTCTTGTATTGATGTAATCTTTTGCAGTGAGAACGAATGGTTTATCATTCAGGAAGAAAGTAACATTGGGCAACTTAGAAATCTGGCAATCCACCTTTAAACAAAGTTTAGTACTTACTAATAATCCAGAATAATAAAAATAAAAAATATTACAATAAAACTTAGTATTAATAAGCCATATTAATATTGTCAACGGTAACAAATCAGACATTTATTAATTTATTTCGATAATTCATTTAGTATCATTAAAAGAGAGCTGCCATTGGGAAATTTATCATCTACTTACAAATATTTCTTCGCCATAATGAGAAATTCCAATTTGTTTTAATAAATCCAATTTGTTGTTAATAAATTCGATTTCTGAAGCTGGCCCAGATAATCCCGGAAAACCAGTGTGGGCGATAGCTTCACAGCCATCCGCACATAAAATCATATGTTCCATTTTGATCCTACAACATTAGCAATTAATTTATATATAAATAATCCGTTGACATATATATATATATATGTAGCTTAAAAAATAATTACATACTTATCAATGGCAAATTGCCAGTATCCTTTGTTGGTTACATTAACATAAGTAAACTCGGTGTTATAATAAGTGGGGTCGGAACCACCCAATATCAGTTGACTATCGTAATCATTTCTATAAACATTATGTTTTACGTTATTATTTTTTTCAACATTAAAAATATTATAAAAAAGACAAAATTTTGTAATTTAGGAAGACGAATCGTTCAAGTGAAAATATTTTTAGACATAAGAAGGAGATACGTACCGATTCAGATAAAAACTAAAAACAGGTGCCGATACTAGGCCTTGTTCAATCATGCTAATGAAAACGGGAGGCACTCCTTTTGTAGATATCTCAGGATAACCCATTCCTAAGATTCCGTCGTACGCCAGAAAGGTAAAAATCGAATCCAGTGTTACCGCTTCTGTGAATGTTTGATTTTGAACACTAACGCCAGCAATCTATAAAACATACATATGCTTCTTTAAAAAAATCTTTATAAGTTCATCATTGAGATTGAATCGAATTGTTTGCTTGATGACATATCCTACATTCATTACATCAGTAGATAAGTATCCAGTAAGCGTCCCAACCAAATAGTCAAGTCCGATATAAGTACCAACTTCTATGTGCGTGTGGGACTTATTGCTATTATATTTTCTATGTGACGCTGTATAAAATAATAACAGAAAATCAGTTGTTGTAAAGATGTTAAAAATTAATTAATTTTTATTAATTTAAAGATATATATGTTAACAATCATTATATGGTTAAAAACATTTATTTCTTTGCTTTAACATATAAATGTACCATGTATCAAAAATAATCATTTAAACATTTAAAATAAGCACGATAAATAAAATAAACCACATATGATTGTTAAACTTAATTTCATAATATTTACCTTCAGTGATTTTAATTTAAAATTATTAGACTTTAAATCATCATAATTATACTTGAAATAGATTGCCTTCCTACTTTATGTTTTTACTTAAAGTTAATCATTAAAATAAAAAATTAAAATCATTTCTACACGTATAATACTAATATTATTAAACATAATGTGCTTGTATATAAGTAACTTATATATAAGTGCTTGTATAAATATAAATAACGTGAAGTATAATAGTATAAGTATGAAAATAAATAAAATAATGGAATTGTCGAAGAAAATTTTACGTTATGATTTACATACAGCAAGCAATGTCATTATTGTCGCAGGTGATGGATGGTACAAAAAAATTAGAGGCACCAGTGTCGAAAAGTATGTTAAACTTCTGCTGTGGGGTTCCAACCGAGATAATACCATAGTATTGTCTATCATATAAATTAAACAGTGGTGCCTGTATAATATCAGGTAAATCATCTCGTCGATTGTCAGCAATCGATTTTCGAATACAATTTGTCTTATATAATGGAATTCTTGAAGAAACACAGAAAAAATCTATTGTATTATATATTTATGTATATATATATATATA